GATGGGCATGTTATTGTTGCAGATGAATAGCTGCTGTTAACACCAGAATTACCTGCAATTCCAGAACTATCCTAATTTAGGAAAGTCATGTTTAATTTTATATTGAGAAATGCGTTAGCGTGCGTGCGTGCATATGTATGTATGTATGTGTGTGTGTGTGTGTGTATGTATGTGTATATGTATGTATGTATGTATATGTGTGTGTGTGTGTGTGTGTGTGTGTGTATGTATGTATGTATGTATATATATATATATATATATATATATATATATGAAATATTTGTATAACTTTGGTATGTGGATGTATACTGCCTTGTATGGAGTGATGGGCATGTTATTGTTGCAGATGAATAGCTGCTGTTAACACCAGAATTACCTGCAATTCCAGAACTACAATTTAGAATTCTAAATGTAATAATGAGAAACTCACCCATTAATTGTTCTAATGACAAGGGACCTGTGTCTTGTTACAATCATGTCATATTGGCTTTTATATAATGAACTAAATCGATAAAATAATAGAAAACAAATTTTGTTAATGATTGCCTGCTACTGTTTTGTTATTTTCAAACACTTTATTTATTTCATCTGTTTTACTTCAAATAAATAATTTAGATGTGTTCCAAATACAACGTTCACTTGCAAATAGTATGAGTGTTACGTAGCTCAAGATATTCCAAAGCAGGATGTAGTGTTGTCAGATTTGTTCACAAATCCTAGTGAAATAAGGCCATCTATACAAGTAGAAGCATTCTAAAATGGGGACATTCACATGAGTTTGGTGTTTGGCATTCAGATTCTAAAGAATGGAAATAAACCACATACATTTAAATTTGGGAAAATACACACACACACACACACACACACACACACATATACGCACAAACACACATTCTTGCAAAGTTTCACTTTTAGATAATGGTTGATATATTTTTTCCTCTAAGAGAACTCTGTTTTTATCAACCTTTGGTCTTTGTGTCTCATATTTTTTATCACTGTTGTTAAAGTATAAGAAATGGTCTATGCCTTCTATTTTACAGCATTACCAATGAAGCAGGAGCCTCCATATACAGTGTTAGTCCAGAGGCTTGTAAAGAGATGCCTGATTTAGACCCTAACCTACGAAGTGCAGGTAACCGTTCTTATTCCTTTCAGAAATAGAATACATGTGTGTTATGGCCGTTAAAAGAGAGATAATAATAGGGACTTGAGCTTTAGACAGAGAGAGATGATTCTCCTTTTGTCAGTTTTTATTGAATCTTAAATTCTGAACCAACACTTTTGCAAAGCCATAGAAACAAATTATAAGTGGAATAGTTTCTTTTGTTTATAGATCTTGAGTATGTTTGTTGACTGATCCAACATAAGCTTGGGAGAAAAATCTGCTTATTATTTACATGCTGTTACATGCCATTTACAAATAGCAAAATTTGTCTAATCATATTATACATAGCATAGCGTAACTACTGTCCCCCACTGTAAAGGACTTAAGTATGCAATATTTGTATAAGACTTTATTTCATTATACCTGTTTCTTAAATGGGAATAACTAGAATAGGGAAATTAATAGAGGAAGGATGAATATAATGGTGTTTACATTTTTCTTTCTGTTTTCATAAAGACACTTGAGACCCATGTGGGTTGATCAAAATTGTAAGAGTACCTCCATAATATATAGAAATTTCCAGTCTTCCAGTCTTTTTTTTTTTTTTTAACCTACCTCCCTTGAAATTTTGGCAGTGAAGTTTGCATCGGAATAAATGGACAGTACAGAATGAGCCAAGGCATGAATGGGCTGTAGGCTTTCCAAAACCAATTTCAACTTGAGGAAGGAACATTTCGTAGGACTCTCTTTTACATAAGCACTGTAGTCTGTGTTCTTAGTATGTCCAGTGGCAGTCAGAAACATATCTGAGCTTACATAATGCTATTGAAAATGTGGTTGCAACTTTGGATCATTGAAGTTTTGCAATTTTTTTAGTTTTATTTTTTTTACATTTTTCATGATATGTCTCTAGCCTATTCTTTCAGCAGTTTCTAAACTGGAAGATTATATATAAACATTCATTTTAACCCAGATTTTCCTAATGGAGTTTTTTCCAAACTGGCTGAAAATTCCCAGCCCAATGGATCCCAATGGATCTAGAGGGCATCAAGCTGGAGTAAACTACTTATCTTCTTCTTATCAGTTACTTTGTTACTGCTGAACTACATGTTTGCTCTGCTTTGTGTATTCCTGCTTTTTTTCTTAATATTTCATATCTATCAAATATTTCTCAGCCAATATTTATTCAATCAATTATATTCTTCTTAGGAAGCTATTTAACTCTTTTCTAAATCAGCTGCGCTATAAATAATTCTTTCTGTCATTCTCCAACTCAGAGGTATTCTGTTTTATTTTGAGCATTTTCTCTAAGTTTTATTATAAAGATATTATAAAGATATTATAAT